TAGAAATATAGATCAGGGCTAGGTATTTAAGGGGTTCAAAAAGCCAAATACAGAGGTTCACATTTTATCCTCGATACAATAAAGACCTACTGAAGGTGATGCCTGAAACAGAAATAGGGAATTTAGGAAGAAGGGTGGGGAAAGATATAGAGTTCTATTTTGGACATTGTGTTTGAGATGCTTACGGAACATTTTCAAGCCATGTTCCTGTGCTCCAGGAAACATCTCTTCCCAGTCACTCCAGATCCAGCCCTGAAGCCAGGGGCTTCTGACTGGTGAGAGTTTACTGCATCTAGCTTATCTAGATGCACCATCTTAATGGTATTCCGCTCTCTTTCTCCTTCAAGATAACCTACCTCATTTTCCACCTCCATCTCCTGGAACAATAATCACTCAATTCTACTATTCCTAGAAAGGGTGTATAATTTAATTAACTGATGACCTCACTCATCATCCCTAAGTCCAGGGTGGTGGGTTATATAACCTCCTTTGCTTCCGCTTCTTGAGGGCAGGGACTGTTTTGCCTTTTTTTTTTTTTTGGATTTGCATATCCAGTGCTTAACACATGCTAAGTGCTTTTTCAGTGATTTATTCAAGTAGGCCGTTGGCCAAGGAAGGGCTCCCTAAAGAGAAAAGAGGATTGGATATGTAGATTTGGGAGTCTGCATACAGGTGATAATTGGCACCAAAGAAGAGAAATTGCCCTGGCTATATCCACACATAGGGAGCAGGATATGAATTATGATCTAGCAAAGGAGACTGAGAAAGAAACTTCAGACAAGTAGCACAACTAGAAAAGAGTGGAAATTTCTTGCAAACCCTAGGGAGAGAGAGTATTCAGGAAGAGGAGGAGGTTAAATGTTTCAAAAGCTACATTAAGATGAGGACTGAGAAAAGGCCATGAGATGTAACAGTTAAAGGATTGGCAGTATGCCTTAAATAGGCAATTTTAGTGGAGTTGGGTGGTGTCAGAAATTATATTACATTTACTTATTTGTGTAATTATAATATCTCCTGATAGAATGTAAATTCCTTAGGGTCAAGGATTATTTTCCATCTTGTCCTTGTGTCTCTGGTGTCTAGAACTAGACCCTTAATAAATATTTGTTGAATTGATTTTAAATTCACCAAGGGTAAGTAACTCTGACCTCATTCACTCATTCCGAGTATTCGTTGAGTACCTACTATGTAATAGCTGTACTCTAAAGAAGAACAGGATATAAGATTTCTGGAGGTGAATGGGGATTTGGGGGAAGGGTTGGATAAAGGCAGATTAATGTCAGTCTCAAAACATCAAGAGCTTTGAATAGCTTGGGAAAGGCTGAATCACAGGCTGAATCTGTAATAGGAAAAGGACCTGGAAGGGGATGGTCCCCTCCTCCCCTTTATCAAATTTAAACCATTTTTTTACACCTCTAATTACCCAGTGATGCAAGCCTTTGAGTTCCTCTTAGGAACACCAGGAAGCATACATCTAGAAAGGAAAGTCCATGTAAGGGAAACCACACCCTAGGGGCGCATGACAATACCTTCTGGAATGCAGGGCCCACAGGAGGCTGGCTTATGTACATTCCATCAGAAGAACTCTGATAAATCAGTATTGATAACATGAGGTTCTGAAACCCAGTTATAAACTGCCATCCATATTTCCTGGACAAACAAGCTTTCCCAAAAGACTCTCTCCTTGATCTGTTGGCCCTACTTTGGGAGGGAGTGGTGGGGAGACAGGAGGATTTCTACAAAGCCCAGTATATATTTCCCAAGGTACCAGGCCAAATAAGTAGTATTTCCAAGAGCCCAAATCAATCAACCAATGAATCAACAAGAATTCATTAAGCGTCTATATGTACCTATACATAGGGTATAGCACTAGGTACAAGAGGCAAAAATATAAAGAATGCAACAAATCCTATTTATATTCAGGTAAGAAGAGCAGGTTATAAACTAGAGTCCTTAATTACTTATGTGGGTTCCAGTTCCCTTCCTCCCCATTTACTCTCCTAAGCTCTGAACAGTAGTGGTAGGAGACTCATGGCAAGCAGAAATGCGGAGGAAGGAGAATTCTCTTAGTGATCTGAATACTTTCCTCCTCCCTAAGGAATGTCGAACCCCTCCCAAGAACCTTTTTCTTTTTAAAACGTTTTAAGAATTTCTCCACAGCCTTATCTCAAAAATGCTAATAATACTTCTACCTCAGAGATCCAGTGAAGAATCTACCTTACAAAGTTAGAAAAGATTTAGAACTGTAAGGGAGGGCCCTTAAAGATCATCCAGTTCAACTCTCATTTTAAGGCTGAAGGTACAAAGCAGCTAGGGCAGCTGGGTGGCATAGTGGATATAGCCCAGGTCTGGAGTCAGAAAGGCTTATCTTCCCGAGTTCAAATCTGGCCTCAGACAGTACCTATGTGACCCTGGGAAAACCACTTAACCCTGTTTGCCTCACTACAATAACTGTGCCAAGAAAACTCCAAATGGGGTCGTGAAGAGTTGGACATGACTAAACAGAGGCACCAAGAGCCTGAAGGAAACACAAAGGTAGTATAAGTAGTAGAATCAGGAGGTTTCAAATTCCCAGTTCTTCTCCAGATCTCTCTATAGTAAGGGAAATCACTAAGTTGGGTGAGCTGTTCTTTTGAATGAATTAGTGAAATAAGGTCAAGGGGCAAATTCCCTTTTTATTCCTCTCTAGGTAAGGTGGAGTCCCTACCCTAGAAGATCTTGCTATCCTGTTGCAGACATGGAATAACTCACCTGAAACTATGGAAGTACCCAGACAAAACAACTTATTTTTGTTTTGTCCTTTTCTCCAAAACACTTAACTAGGAATGTGGTGAATCTTTGCAATATGAGTTTGTGGCTTATACCTCCCCCACCATGGTACAAAACTGTAAATACCATTAAGGCTAGGATGAACTTTTAGCTAAATTTGGTATTTCCTAGAACTGGTCTTTGAACAAAGTAATAATAACATTTCTGTGGCTTTTTAAGACTTAAAGCTTATGAAACATTTTCTCCTGAACAGCTTTGTAAGACAGTTGATGTATTATTATCCCCATTTTACAGAGGAGAAAAGTGAATCTTGAAAGGGTAAAGTGATTTGTCCAAGATCACACAGCCAGTACATAATAAAGCTAGAATTTGAACCCAGGTTCCATAACTATAGGTCTAGCATTCTTTCCACTCCAGAATCATCTTTAAGAAATATCACAAGAATTTGTGGGCCCAAGTACAAACTAGCCTGGTACCTTTTTCTGGAGTTTGGGAACTTGCCCTCTGGGAGATATTTCTAGAAGCCTCCATTTTCCTCTCCCCCAAGATGAGAGGTAAGGGTCAATTTATTGCTGCAAATTTGGTACTATTTCTACCGGGGAAACTTAGAAGGTAATGGAAATTTTTGTCCCTAAGGGACATTGCCTGGATGGTTCACTATAGAAAAGTGCAGGTAGGGGTTGGTGGTCAGGATGACATATCTAAAAGTGCTAAGATAGCATTTTAAAGCACCCGGAAAGGAACCGAGGTTAGGCCGGGAGGAAAATAACAGCGTGGCAGCAGGGGGAGCAGCTCAAAATTTAGGCCAAAAGAACCTAAACTAAGGTAGTGAGGGTCTTCCAAGCCAGTCAAATACGGGGTAAGGCCCTGCCTGTGTTCGCTATCCAAGAAGTGGCCTATCTGCGAAGTGGGAAAAGGCTCATGCCCAAAGGATGAATTATTTGGCCATGGCAACTTCTGAACCACCAAATACGGGGGAGATTCATTGTCAAGCTCCTCAAGAAGGGCACCGGCTGTCATACACTGTGTCTCAAATTAAAAGGGAGGGTGGGTGCTGGTGTGGCGAGCTCGACGGTTCAGCCAAGGTTCCCTGGAGCCAGGCAATTATTGCCTAAGAGTGGTACCGGCGGAGAGAGAACGAGAGATGACGATCCCGAGCCCCAAGCCTGGATTTGGAAAGAAGCAAATCGAATTCTCGCCGTGGGTCATCCCGCAAGGAAGCCGAAGCTTTTGCTCGCTTGATGAGTAATAACTGACATTCAGGCAGCGCTTTAAGATTCGTTAAGCGCCTACATGCATTTTGGTCCAGTGCTACCTCCAAGCAAGCCTCTGGCGCATGCCACCGGACTAACAGGTGCTCATTCGCAAACGCCCCAGAACCCAAGCCCGCAGGAGACCTGGCGCGCGTGCCCCGAGCCTCGGGAGAAGGGGAGGGGAGGGGAGGGGAACACGGCCGGCGGGCAGGCGGCTCCGTGCCCGCAATCCCCACAGACCTCCTCCAGGTGCGCTCTCGCTTCCGGCCCAGACCCCCGCCCTTCCCCCGTTCTCTAGCCTCTGCAGCGGAAACTCCAGCGGCCACGCATGCGCTGTACTTCCCTCCTTAACAGCGGTCTAAGGAAGGGTTGAATGGAGAAGGGGTGGAGACCGCCCCCGCTCTTCAGGTGCTCCCCCGGGCGTCTCTAGGCGGGCGCGGGGGTGGGAGGGACGCGTGACGTCCCCCCTCCCTCTTCTTCCCTCCCCTTCCCTTCTTCTCCATTCCATTCAACTAGTAGAGCTTATCGGGGTTGTAGACGCCAGCTTCGGTGCTTGGGCGGTCGGGAGGAGCCTCACGCCTCTCTTCTTTTTTTTCCTCGGCCTTCCCTCCGGGGTAGGGGCCAGCAGGTGAGCGCGTGCACCGCGGTCGTGGCGTCTCCCCGCCCCGCCCCCCACCCCAGTTAACTACAGGTGCGTGAGGGGCGCGCGCGAGATTGCGCCAGTTGAGAGTGAGGCTGAGCGCTCGCGGCCGCCCCCTCCCCCTCCTCGAATCGCCTGAGCCGCCTCGGCGCCCCCAGCCGGGCGCCGCCGCCGCCTCAGCCCCGCGGCTCGAGGGACTGGAAGCCAGAGAAGGAGAAGCCGCCGCCACAACTGCAGGTGGCTTGTGCGCGGCGCAGGCCGGAGGCTCTTCCTCCCGTTCGTCCCCTCGCCCCGGGAGAGGGGGCCGCCTGCGGCAGACGGACCGCAGGCCGGACAGACAGTCCGCTCCCCCGCGCTCACCATGAACCGGGCTCACCGGCACGGCGCGGGCAGCGGCTGCCTGGGCACCATGGAGGTGAAGAGCAAGGTGGGTGCGGGGCCCCGGGAGCGTCCGGGGCGGAGGGGACCGGGGAGGGCGCGGGGTGGGGACGCAGCGCCGGGTGGGCGCGTGGGCGAGCCCCGAACGTCTGGGCTGAGAACCCGGGGAGGAGCTTGGAGGGCCCCGGCGCTGAGCTCCGGCTGCACGCCGGCCCCTGCCTGGGCAGACTGGAACGGATCCAGTGTGGTTACTGGGAGCGACCAGCATTCCTCCCCTCCCCACCCCCAGCCTGTAACCTGCAGGTGAGTGTAGGAAGCGGGGGTTACACCGTATTAAGAGAGGTGGGTGGAGGGGGAAAAAACTTGATTTAGATTGTATTCAGCGGTGAGAGTTTTGTTGCGTTAAGCTTGCTGTTTTCCCCCTCCCTAGCCCAGAGAGTAGAAAATTTACTTAGCCAAATTAGATTTGCTTCCTATCGTAGCGAAAATAAGGTCCTGTCTGTTACTAATCTTGTTAATCTTATTACTCTTTGAGAGTGTTAACTCACCGCAACAGAATTTTTAAATTTCAGTAATACTTCACAGAACTTTGGTCTGTTGAGGAGGGAACACAAAGAAACAACCCAAACACATAAATGTGAAATTATTTAACTATTTGCCAGGTAATGTATGAGCCACGAACCAGTTAATTAGATGTCGACTGAGTGCCTGAGTAGTGGGGATACCAGTGAAAGCCTTAAAGGAGTGATCAAAGCTATGGTGAGGAAGGCCCTCTTAAATGAGATGAATTTAACTATGGATTTGGAGAAGACGTGCATAAGAGACATTTCAATCTCAATAAACCTTTCCTTGAATTAAGATAATATTAACTGGATGGAACCATGTAGACCTTGTTCAGCCTTCCCCGCTCTTACCCCCCCACCCCCCTTACACTGGAGTCTGAGGCCGAGACCTGCCTAAGATCACATAGCCAGCTTGTGAGGAATACCGAACACTGCTTTAGGAGAAGTAAACAGAAGACTGTCTCTGCCTATCAGAAGTTTACATACAGTACTGCAGGGGAACCTAAAACATGTAAAGCGCCATGAAAATAGTTACAGAATAATGTCTCAAATGCAACGTAATATTACATAATTTAAATCACGAGTACGGAGTACCGAAGGTTTTGCCCAGTAGGAGTAGTGATCCGTGAAATGTAGATACTGGGGAAACGTTTCTTAAAGGATAGATAGAAGAGGAAATGAGATCTTCTTCAGGGGATGATGACCATGTATTTTCAAGTTTTTATAATCTTTAAAATGAGATCAGGGATAGCCACATTTGCCTTGTTTTTAAAAGTTAATAGTTGAAACTATTCGTGTGTGTGTGTGTGTGTGTGTGGTAGAATTTGGTTGAAACTTTGCTATTAGAGTATAAATGTAGTCGTATCAAATTTAGACTTGAATTTTAAAGAATATACTCTTCCTCTCCATCTTTCATGGAATTGTCATTGCAAATTGAAATTGTTTGCGTGAGTAATGTGATTCAAAATCTTGGTAGTGCTATAACAGTAATGAGTCCATGCAAGATGATAGAGATGCCTTTCTGCAGTTGTATCACTAGATTTGGTTTTGTGGGAGCTCAGGTTGACAAATTCTCAGATAAGGTGCGGTCTCAGAACCAGGCATTGACTTCTACTTAGCCAATTGGTTTTAACATTTAAGAGATTTTCCTCTGCTTTTCTGCCAGTTGATTTAAAATTCTCACATGTATGTAGTTGCAGGTAAACCATTTTCATGACATATTTGATATGTTTAGGTTTTATAAACTTTTCCTTTTCATACAGTCATTGGAAGCTCAATTTGAGATACATATTCTTAGGAAAGTTTTTTAAGGTGTAAAGAGCTATGTATAATATATCCTGCTGTTATTCTCTTACCCTAGGATAGGTAGATAGGCAAAACAATAGGGTCAATAAAATTTCTCTGTTCATATTAACTTTTAAGTAGATTTTGTCAGTAAATTTGTTTTTAATGGTGGAAATGAAATGTTTCTAAGGTCTCTTCTGGAACTTGGACAAATTTTTTTTTTTATTTTTTGACAAATTTTTTTTTAAAATGATGAAAATGGTAGCCATGCCTTTTTTTGTTTTCACATAAATATAGTGAATTTTAAACAATAGTTCTCTATCACATTTTATTAATGCCACAACTTTTATATCATGGCCTTGAATGTACCATGCTAAAAGTTGATTGATTTCATAGAAATCAATATTATTACTTGGCTCAGAATTGACTCTTTAAATGTAGAGTAGTGGTTATCTATTTCTTTCCATTAACAGGGCTATTCTTTGAATTTGAAATGTGTTTTTTTCTGTGTAGTAGATTTACCTATCTCTTGAAGTGAGAAATTTCACAGCCAGTTATCACTATGGTGTCTTTGATGATTCTTGGAGCTATAGGCCCTCCTGATTTGATTGCCTTTCTTGGGCTAATCTTAAAATTGGTTATCCAATGACCATGGAAGAAGTTTGCTAACCGGACAGATATTTGATATGCTGGATGGTAGGAGTAAACTAATGGAAAACTGGTACTAAGTCTATCTAGTGAATAATTCTCTTGAAGATAATAGTTGATTGTGTCTGCTTTTTGTCCTTATGCTAGGTTTTTTTCACATGGAGTAAAAAATTCCTCTTAATCCTATTGTGTTATTGCAAAAGGCATAACAATATCTTTGTTACTCAGTACACTTTTTGCCAGGAATTACAAAACAGCATTTACCAAAGGACACAGATTTACAGTAAAGTCATAAAATTTCCTATTGCCTTAATACCCTTAATCAGGTTTCTATCCTTTTCATATTAAGGGGAAAGAAACATCTCAAAGAGGATTTATATAGCAAATGTTTAGCAAGATGATCTAAAATGTTTAACTAATATAAAATATTTATTAAAATTTTAGAGATAATGGTAGTGCTGTTGAGAAATCCATTTGGCATAGACTGTTGAGAAACACTTAAATATGAAATTTTGATAGCATCAGGGTAATTAAAATAAGAAACTGACTTGATGTTGTCATAGGACTTCTAACACTGATATGAAGGGTGTTTCTATTGAGTTTTATTTACTTTGTAATGTGTAGGTGTGACTAAACTCCGAAGATAGCTGTAGGTATGAATCACCTTATTTTCTTGACAAAGTTTATGTTTCAGAAATGTATTTTAATTTATTGCCTGTTAAAACTGGTGTCTGTGTGTGTGTATGTGTGTGTTCTAATACTTGCAAGTAAGGTATTTAGCTATATAGAATTACCAAAAATAGTGATTCAGGTATCTGTAAGGGAGTTTGGGAAATGAATTGGCAACCATGTAAACCTCTACACTTTTACAGGGATTACAGGGATTTAATATTTTCTCTAGTTAGGTGGTAGGTGATCTAAGTACATAGTGGATGAGGAATGATGGAAAGGCCAGCTTTTAAAGGTAAATGGGAAACTAAGGAATTTTTTAAGACATCTGTCATCTCTCCTTTTTTTTTAGCACTTGGGAAGAAATAAGTTTCTTTTGCAAAACAAAACTGTACCACAGGACTGGGAACTGAAAGATAGACAAAAATGATGGTGTTTCATTGACTTGTTAAGAGAGGCTTATTTGCTGTATTCAGTGAAGAAGCTTGTATTAATTATCACACCTATTTTTAAAAATAGCTCCTTATTCCAAAGAACTCAAAGTTCTTTTTGTGCATTTTAGTAATAACCTACACAATGTTCTAATGAGGTCAGTACACAGCAATTTTTATTACATTTTTACAGAAAATTACATTTCTTGTATTTGTATGTACTTAATTTAGGTTGCTAATTTTTATGCTGCTGTTATGTTTATGATCACTTGCTGAGATTGCTGTTCAGCTAGATCAACCTGATCTAGCTGCTTTTTGAGGTCCCTTCTAACTCAGAGTTTCTAATTTTAATGTTTGACTTTTAATTTTTGCCCATTTTTTATTATGCCTACTTTGTTAGGGTGTGATTTTTTTTTTTTTAAATTGTGGTTTTCAGAATAGGACTTCAGTTCCTTTTAGGGGATGGGAAGAAATAAGCATTCATACAATGTCCACCATATTCCACTATTGTGCTAAGTGCCTTTTTTCTTTTCTTTTCTTTTTTAACAAACATTTCATTTGATTCTCACAGCAACGCTTCGAGGTAGGTGCTGTTATTATTCGAGTTTTCCAATTGAGGAAACTGAGGCAAGGATAGGTTAAGTGATTTGGTCCAGGGTCACACAACTAGCTAGTAAGAGTGGATTTAAATTCAGCTCTTCCTGATTCCAGGCCCAGCACTCTATCCACTGAACCACTTACCTGCCTCACTTATAGTTCATTGTTGAGTAAGTGAAAAAACACAGATCAGTTGACTTTTTCTGCATTATTGTCTGAACTTGACCAGATGAGAGGTCAAAGGGTAACAAGAAAGTATAGAGGCAGAATTTCATCTTATGTACTGATGAGATTCTGGATTAATTACTATTCTATCTTCTTTGTTTAGCAATTTAACCTTTGATCTTATTAGCACATATTAATAATATAGAAATTCTGCCTTTCTCCATGAAAGTCTCACTGAAAGTGCCATGAGGTGGGTTTTTGCCAGCTGTGCCAGTAAAGTACTTTCTGGCATATATACCACACTGTAAAGGCCTGGAGAACTTTTGTCTTCTGAGGACTAAACTAGTTAGGTTTGGAGGAACTCATTAAGTATGATTTTTCTGACAGTAGTAGTGTTCAGATATTCCACCAAGGGATGCAGTGAGAAGAATGTTGGTCTGAAGCCATGGGTTTTAATCCTTGTACTTGGGCAGGTCAGTTGGCCTCCCCCGTTTCATTATCTGTAAAATGAGGGAATTTGATTAAATAACGTGGAGTACATTCTAAATCTAAATCTGTGATCCATAATCATAGAAAGGTTCTTCACAAAGTAGCATTAAAATATATCAGCATTTAACATCATATTACAGTTTTCAGAGAAATTTCACGTACGTTTTCCACATATCAACCCTGTAAGATAAGCTACTAATGTCCCCATTTCACAGATGAAGAAGCAGGTTAAGTATCTTGAGATCACACATAGCTATAAAGTGATGGGATTACCATCTAACCTAGACCTAGAGCCTAGGACTTGTATTACTTTTTTCCTCCACTATACCACACTGACTCAAAAATAACAATGTCTTTACTGATATTGTATCTTTTAAAATCTTGAGTTCTGCGTTTCACTTAAAGTTGTGTAAAGTTAAAACTATTGGGTATTTTGGTGAGGTTTTATGTATTGAACCCCAAAGCACCTCTGTATCCAATTTGAAGTTACTAGAAGTGTTGTCATTTGCATATGTTTATTACTTTTGCCCTTCTTCTAGTGTATTTGTCCAGACTAGTTTGAAAGCTCCTAGAAGGCAGAAATTCTTTTATTTCTTTGCTAGAAATTGAAAGGGGATTCAATTAGTGTAGAAACAAAGCTTCTTTTAGTTAAGTTGGTGTGAGGATGGGTGGATTGGATAAAATTCTGGTCTCTGCACTGGCTTCATGTAGTAGCAGAGAGGCCTTTTTGTCAGGTCTTGGAGTCTAGGCCTGAACCAAGAAACCCCTAGGTGCTCAACTGATTCTGCATATAGGACAGTGGTACAATGACTGTCCTAGACATCGAAAGATTAGGGGGACAGAGACAAGGATAGATCCCCAACCTTCTCAGAGGCAGAAATCATTGGATTTTAGAGCTAGAAGGGACCTTAGAAATCTCCCTCTTAATAGTAGAGCCCAGGCCAGAAACCAGGTGGTGAGTGATTGGCAAAGCCAGGATGTTTGAGACTTCTTGCCTCAAATCAGTGCTCTGTCCACTATACTATAGTGCTAATTATATTTCTTTCCTTTGGTAAGGAAGCTGTCATGAAATATATTTTCTTGATTAATAGACGTATCATTTTACTTGTTGACTATTTCATAGCTTTCTTAGATAGAAATGTTTTTACCTTTGCCGATATGACATAACATCAGTATCCTGTTGACTTTTATACCTCTAGTGCTTAGCACTGTTTATGGCACACAAGTGCTAAATAAATGCTTGTTGATGTTGAAATTGTGACTTTTGATATTTTTCTTAAAACTAATTTATTATGTATATTTTGTTTATAGTTTGGAGCAGAATTTCGTCGATTTTCTCTGGAACGATCTAAACCTGGAAAATTTGAGGAGTTTTATGGATTACTACAGCATGTTCATAAGATACCCAATGTTGAAGTTTTAGTAGGCTATGCAGATATTCATGGAGACTTACTGCCTATAAATAATGATGATAACTATCATAAAGCTGTTTCAACGGCCAATCCACTGCTTAGGATTTTTATACAAAAAAAAGGTAAGTATGACTTTAGAAAAACTATGTTGCTAATCACTAGACTTTGTTGAAAGAATGCACTTTTCAGACAGTTGACACTTACTAGCAGTGTGACCCTGGGCAAGTCACTTAACCCCAATTACCTCACCAAAAACAAAAAAAGAATGAACTTGTTCTAATTTTAAGCTATTGTTGATGTTTTAAATAAAATTAGTTTGTAGAATTAGGTACAAAACTCACCGTGGACCTCCCTGGGTCTTAGTTTTCTCATCTGTAAAATGAAAAGGTTGGACTAAATGATCTGAGGTTTTTTCCAGCTCTAAATCTATGATCTGTGATTGCTTATTTTAGATTTATTGTTTCCTGTGATTAGTGAGTGACAGGAAAACTGGTATGTAGGTTATTTGAGAGGTCAGTAAATATTCTTTATTAATGTTGCAAAAAAAAAAGATTTGAAATCACAGCATTTTCTGTATTAAATAAGTTCTCCAATGGCACTGTGCTTACAGCTCTTTTAAGAGAAAAAAAACATTAGTTTTTAATTCTGTTTGCCTGAGGATGTGTGTGCCTTCTGTATTTTTGGTGAATGAAGAAGTGTAGGGTAACCAGCATCAGGTTCAGCATCTGTATTATAAAAGGAAACAGTAGAAGAGAGTAAGGATGTCACAGTGGTGGTGGAATGGAGGCCGGGGCTATGTAGCATCTGGGTTCTGGCACGCTCAATTAATAAGGCCTGGCGTATCATTCTATTACTGAACTCTGGTCTGCTTCAAGCTGCACCAGAGCATTAAAAATACATAAGAGTAAGAACTTGAGGGACAGTCATTAAAGAATCTTTTGTATGAAAAAAATTCCCACAATTGTCATTTTTACCCTTGTACCTTAATTTTTACATAATAGACATTATGTAGTAGGAGTTTCTAATAAACTTGTAGTGCTTTTCAAGCTATTCAACAGGCAGTGTGAACATTAGATTTTTTTTCAATAACTACATGATAATAGTTGATAAATCATTTTATCTAAGGTTTGTAGCAGTTGGATTATAACACCATTGTGTATTAATTTAGTTGTTATCTTGTCTTTAACTTAACATTAAAATTCAGTCCTAACATCTTTTAAGAGTCTGTACCTTTCTAAATTCCTTTATTGTGTATTTATCTCAATATTTTTTTACTATTATAAGGATTATTAATTTCAATCAAGATATCAAACAAGACACCTATTTTTCTTAGCTTTTCTTCATATCAGTTTCCTAAATAGTGAAAATGAACACTTGGTGTATATTGTCATTAAGACTTTAGTATTGTGTTTTTAGGGCCTTTTAGAAATAAGCAACATTTTAATGGGAAAAAATTCTCACCAGAGAGTACTCTGTTCTAGTTTTGTGTGTTTTCTAGGAACTTAATGCAAATGATGACTTTCCTGTCAAGGAAAAAGTACAGTTAATTAGTCTATTTAAAGCTATATGTTATCATACTTTATTTTGATACTTTTCTTGACAAGAGCCTAATGGCTATTTATACAGCAGGTTTTATGTAAACATAACTGGGTACTATTTGGTCCAGGAAACAGCTTTAAACTTGGAAATCATATTCTGCTGCCACTGACTATCTTCCTCCTTAGTTGATAGTAAACTAATTTGTTTGCATAGACAGCAATTTCATGCACCTTGGTGACAACTCGTTATCATAAATTTTAAGTTGTGATTTTTTTTTCTCCTTAAGATTATGTTAAAGAAAACAGATTCCCAGAGTATAAGACTCTATAAATCATTTAGTACCGGGATACATTTTTTTTTGCTTGAGTTTAAGAAACTTCTATATCTTGAATCAGTTGTTTTTACTTTAACTTTTTGGGGCTTGAGTTTCAACGGAATACTATATCTGTTTCTTACAAAGGCTGGTTTTAATTGGCGGGTGGTAAGAAGTGCATATTTCTGGTGCTGTTGCCATGGAAACAATAGAGGAAAAAAAGGCGGGAGAGAGAAAATTAAATCCTGAAAGTGACTTTTACAAAGAAGATTCTAGGTCTTCTATTACTAGCTAACTTTTTTTCTTTTGGTCAGTTGAACAAAAGATATCCTAATTAAATTTATGGAGGAGGAAAACTAGAAAATAAAGTTTGACTCTTAAGGGAATATTATGTTTTTAATAACAAACAGTAAAATGACTTATTTCAACTGTTCCATGTTCATGTTTCTACAATAAAAATGTCAGACACTAACTTACTGATAACGTTTACATTTTTATCTAATGCTTTTACTTCCCTATTGCATCTTAATTTAGCTGAAATGAGTTTCCTGATCTAGTTCGGAAACAGAAATTTATTTGTATTTGAAACTTGGGCTTTACTTGTGTAAAAATGCTCTGCCAAAAAGGATGTCAATTTTTTCTCCAAATGTCACTAAGAAAAATGTTTTTGGTTAGTAAGCTCCTGAGGACAGGGGCTGTCTTTCTTAGTTTTATACCTAGTGCCTCCCATTGTAAGTACCTAAGATGTTTGGTTATCTACATACTGAAGGAATATCTTCTGTGTACTTAATAAGAATTTTTCATTATGCAGTGGGAAAATTATGTTTGAGCAGAAATAGGACAAATATTGATGACTTTTAGGTACTTGGTCCCAGCTCTAATTTTTCAGATGCAGGAGAATTGTTGTAGAACCTTTCCTTAGGAAGAAGACCCCCATATGTCCCAAAATTGTAGTGGTATTAAATCTAGGCATTAATTGCTTAGTTTCTTACTAATTCCTCATGATTTTTAGTTATAAAATATAAATTGTTGTTCAACAGACAAGTTCTTGTATTCCTAGTACTGGGTGGGTAGGCATTAGGAATATAAACAAATCAAAATGATACTTGACCTCAAGAAGCTTACCTTTTACTTAGAGGAACCATTGTTGTGATTGCCTTCATTTTGTGTTTCCTTTTGGAACTATAGCTTATCTGTTTGGAAAGAAGAGCCACTTTTTTTTTTTTTTTTTTTAAGAAAAAAAGCTGGTGTTAAAATGTGTATACTTGGTAGTGGTCTCATCTAAGCCTAAAGTACTTAAAAAAAACCAGCTAAAAATACATTTTAAAAAGAAAACCACACACTTATCTATGTTTTGTTTAACTGAGGTATAAGATTTAGGTTAATAAACCAACCATCATGTTTGCCAAAGGATAGTGTTAAAGATGATACTGTTTTATGTAACATCATTAACTGATAATTCCAATAACTAAATCCCTTGGCTCTAACCTAGGTTGTGCAGAATTGTGGTTCTTTGTATAGCGAGTTTAAGTGCATAACTCTACCTTTGTAGTCCTAAGACCGTAACATGTAGAGCTGAAAGGGAGGGACCTTATAGATCTGCTGTAACTCCCTCATTTTAATGAGGAAACTGAAGTTCAGGCAAGGAAAAGTAACCTGCCTGGTCACACTGTTCTGTATATCGACATCTTTGTCTCCTGCATTATTTAATTGTATCCTTGATTTTTATTTTTTATCTGGCTACCCTAATAGCCAGACAACCCCTACTTACTGCTCTTGTTTAAACTTTTAATGGAAAAAGTGTTATCGGTATTTTGATTTAGAATGTTATATATTTGAGTAGGTGTTTAGTTCTGTATTTTTAAAAGGTAAAAAGTGTTCTGTAAGCAGAAAAGATGTTTATATAGTACACTATCTGTAGGCATAGTGCTGTGCTTTGTGAAATGCTTTGTCTAATTTTTGTCTCTTCAATGGCTTTTGGATGTCACTGCTGTTGTCCTGTGCTTACCTATGACTATAACACTTAAATAGTGCTTTGCAGTTTACCAAGTACTTTTCTTAACAATGTGAAATAGATAGTATAAGTTCTGTTACAGTACCTTGTACATAGAGCTTAATAAATATTTGTCAAATTGAATTAACCTCATTTTCCAGATGAGGACACTGAAACTCGACAACTTGCTTTCTAAGACACAGCTAATAAGTAGTGAAAACCAGGAGTTAAGCCCAAGTTTCCCTTGTTCTTTATACCAAATTACATTGCCTAAAAAGAAGAGTAAATAGGTTCTGATTGAGAACCAGAGGGATTCTTGAACCCTAAGTGAAATGTTCATGATTTGGTTCACGAACAACTGCTCAGAATGTTTTACATGTTCTTGGCTCTGTTTTGGATTCTTAAGGTTGCTGGATAAGTCAGGTGTTGGTCTAGAAGATTAGTAATTATGGCACTAAACTAAAGACCCTCAGTAGCACGCAAGAGAGTTTTTGCTTTAAATTAATTTGATCAGAGTTTTCCAATTTACTTTTCATAGTCTCTTTAGTTCCAGAGCATAAATATGGACTTAAAGTAGAAAGTCAACTTACATTCAATTTGGACATTCACCTTTACACTTTAAACTAACACCCTGTACTGTGGCTTTCTGCCAAAATATTTCTTTTCCCAGTAGCTGTAAACTGCTTAGCTAGATGGGAGAACAAAGGTGCCTTTGTACTCAGGCATATTGCTTTTGAGAATTTAGTCAAGAATGTACAAATGGAGTCTGGTTGCATGGGCAAATTATGCAGATTAGTTTCTCTGGTTAAGCTTTCCGTGAGTAGTTGTAAAGGAAGAAAATGTTATTTTGTCCTAAATTTATGTGGCTAGGGATCTTTATATTTTTCACTAGTATATATGCCATTTTGTAGACTTTCTTCGCACTTTATTTGAGAATAAAATGTTCTGAGAAAAGATTCATTGAAGCTGTTTTCTTAATTTGCTTATATGCAAGGTTTTGCAAAGAGAAGGTATTGGTATTTCTAGATATTTCTTAAAAGCCAAACAGCTTTTCAAGCAAACAGTTGTTTTCCATGAGAAAACATTGTACATTGTCTATTCAGGCTGTCTAAAATGGATCATTAAGGTTGATAAGAATACTGCTGCTTGCTAATATAGAGCATGATATATTTGTGTAACTCACATTAGGAAAGTCCTTTCTATACTCTGCATATATTTAACATTTGCTAATTCCTCCATGTGTGAGATTATGGCTTACAAAATTGTATGTCTTATAGTTTTGGCAACTTTTAAACTTCCAGCAGAGCTGAAAAAATGAGGAAATTGAAGTTCTTTTTTAATCTGACAAGTTTAAAGCTGGTACATATTTGGCACATATTTCATTTTCTCCCACCATTCTAAATAAATTTTGAAAGCATAATGTTAGCTTGTTCAGTGTTTTTTCATCTTTCTTTTTTTCTACCTCAGTGGTTAGGATTTTTGTTTTTGTTTATACAAAGTGTTTGAAGTGAACAATGAATTATGAATGATATGTCTGCCTTCAGCAGGGATGATTTACACATCTAGCTTTAAGTGTTTCCCATTTCTTCCTAACAATAGCATTAAATTTCCTTTTGGGATCATAAGTGCTTTGTTTTATCTCACCTTTGATATTCCTGAGTTTTTTGTGAAAATGATGTTTTAACATGGGCACGGTAATTTGAAATGTTTTAAAAGACGTGGTATAAGTAATGTTAGTTCAGCAAATGCTTCAGCTAAAAGTATGTAGGCTTTTATATCCTAGAAAAGAAACTGAGATTTTAGGTGATAGCAGTTAAAATGTGCTGGGCTTTCAATTAGCACAATTAATTTGATCATTTTCTATGCTTTGTTCCTATTAATATATAAAACTACTTACTTTAGGGATAATAACAGGCATATGGAAATTAACGCTTTTAAAATAATTTAGCCCCTAATCCAAATTTACTTTAAAATCATAGCTAATTATAATTTTTGTTTTTATCACTGTTAATTTTGAGAGAATGTTTTAATGTTTGCTTATTTCTGGAAGTAGTTCTTTGTCAAGTGTTTGTTGTATTAGCCGGTGGACTCTTCGAATTGCTTCTAGCTCTGTTACAGTTTATTTTTTACTTTTGGGGGAGGCAGTTAGAATTAAGTGATTTGCCCAAGGTCACACAGCTAGTAAATGTTTCTACCACCTAGCTGCCCCAAGACATAGTATTTTAAACAATAAAAGCTAAGTATGTAGCAATACAACAAAAAGGGCCCAATGGAACAAAATCACAGGCAATGAGCAACTCCTGAAATATTCTATAAAGAAGCAAGTAAGCCCTACTGAATTTGACCGTATAAGCATCAGATTGATTACATTTTAAACTGGGGGATATAATGTTTTCTCACCAGTCACATCTGTTCTTTGCTTTCCTAATTTCAAGTGAAATATTGTGATGCTACATGTTGTTTTGTTTATAATTCACCAATGCATGCTAATTAGTGGCTTTATCACATTTCTGTATTACTAGTTTAATCCTAAACTCTTTTCTTCTACCCCATGAGCTTACAGTTGTACCTAGGCATTATTATTCAAGCAGCAAATGAAGTTAGACCCAATTAGAAAAAATATATTGGGAAAAACTAAATCTGTAATCCCTTGACTACTAATTGTGCTTGGAAATTTTACTGTAACTTTAGAAAGTCATATTAACTTTATTTGAGCTTAATGTATTTTATTGTCAATCTAAATAAAAAATTCCAAGATGGAAAATTTGTAGCCCCAAATACATATATTCAAAAAGAAACTGCATCTCTGTTGCGTATAGTAGACAGTTGTGATTTTTTTTTATATGTGATTCAGCTTTGTAAAGATCTTTGTGATGTTTTCCGATTATCACAAAAGAGGGCCATCTAGTGGTTTTGCTAGAATATCATTATCATGACACTGGTACTAAATTATGAATTGAATAAAAGGTCACTGATTGGTTATGTTCCTTTTAAGTTACTGACTTATAAATCCTTGTTGGTATGTCAGTTTGCTACCATTACTGCCTTGTGTTATGTTATCATAGAGTAATGGGATATTTTGATGGCTTTTCTAGATAGACTAATACTGATAATCAATGGGGTTTTTTTTGTTTTGTTTTGTTTAACAGAAGAAGCAGACTACAGTGCCTTTGGAACAGATACGCTAACAAAGAAGAAGAATGTCTTGACAAATGTATTACGTCCTGATTACCATAAAAAGAAACCAAACATTGTTATTAGTATGCCACAAGACTTTAGACCGGTATCTTCCATTATAGATGTGGATATTCTCCCAGAAACACATCGAAGAGTTCGTCTTTATAAATATGGAACAGAAAAACCACTAGGATTCTATATCCGTGATGGCTCTAGTGTAAGAGTCACACCACATGGCCTAGAAAAGGTACCGGGGATTTTCATATCCAGGCTTGTTCCAGGTGGTCTGGCTCAGAGTACTGGCTTACTTGCAGTTAATGATGAGGTTTTAGAAGTTAATGGAATAGAAGTTTCGGGGAAAAGTCTTGATCAAGTTACAGACATGATGATTGCAAACAGCCGTAACCTGATTATAACTGTAAGACCTGCAAACCAGAGAAATAACGTTGTTAGGAATAGTCGGACTTCGGGCAGCTCAGGTCAGTCTACTGATAACAGCCTTATCAGTTACTCGCCACATATTGAGACAAATTTTGATCCTAAAGATGAAGAGAGTGATGAAGAAGACATAATTATTGAAGATAATGGAATGCCCCAGCAAATACCCAAGGCAGTTCCTATGGCTGGGAGCTTAGAATCACTAACACAAATTGAACTGAGTTTTGAGTCAGCACAGAATGGTTTTATTCCTAATGATGTGAATTTACAGCACACAAGTGGCGCAAAGATGGAACATGAAACACATGCTTCAGATCAGAAGCCATTAGAAGAAGATGGAACAATTATAACATTATGATATTTGTAGAGTGGCTTCCTAAAATGAAGGTGCCATAGAACTTTACATTTGGCTGTTCAAAAACATATGTACCTCTGTACCAGTGACATAAAGTGTATATGCAAAAATAATGAAGCTTTAAAATGTTAGTTTAATTTTCTGGCTAATGTAAATAACCGTTGTGGATTGGAGGTGAATTTGAGACTAGAATTTAAGGAGCATTTAGAAGTGAAATTATAAACTTGCTTATTCTGTCTGTAAAGAATACTATTATAGTAAAGGGGTACGTTTTCAGTACTGCAAGATGAATTAGATCATTTCCAGTTGAAGTGGTTATATATTTAACCTGCCACGCAGAGCCCAGTCAAATTATTCTACATTAATGCTCTTAGCTACAGTCTTCTGATTCTAATGTGAAAGTCTGATTCCATCTCCTTTTGGTATCTTTAGGACCAGTTCTCTTCTCTTGGTTTACAGTATTTTATGACTTTGATTTCTTGCATTATGCTTATTTTGCTAATTGCAACACAATGTTTTATGTGAACTTTCAAAGAATCAAAATAATCAACAGCTTTCAAAAATTGTATACCTTATTTATGAATCATAGAAGTGATTCCTGAATGTAGTGAAGGTTTGTGAAAGTTGTTTTAAGATGGTACTCACACATACCATACCTTATAAAATTACTGACGCTTAGTCCACATGGTTGTAACCTGATGTCTTAGAGGGAATCTTAAGACAATTCCTTTTTACCACTTCTCATGAAAAAAAACTTTGTTTCTCTTTGTGTTGGTGTACATTTGTGCCTTTTAAATGTAATGTGAATTTTCATGGGTATAATATGCACTTGGATTAAGAGAAGAGAACTTACATACATGTAGGACAAACTTGTGCACTTTTATATAAAGATTTTTAGTTTTCACCTAATGGTATTGATCTCTGGATTATGGAAACTGCCTACACTTTAGGACAAATTATGCATGGCAAATGTATTCACATTAATTTTATGAGAGGATATTTATTGCTTTAACACAAGCATCCAAATAGAACTAGTAACGCTGCTAACTTTCATTCTTTGCTTAATTTTTTTTGTATTTATAATTGTCATGTGCATGAACACTGTATATAGAAGTTAAGGCTATTATAAAAGAAGTGCATGTTTCCTTTTACTTATGACTTAAGGACACATTCCCCAAACTAATTATTTATTAATTAACTTTATAATGGGATTAGTGTGAATGGCTTTATAATGTGTGATGTTAAAATGAAGAATTAAATGACTCCATTTTGAAGGATTTATATATAGTAAAATTATGTGAAGAATGAAAGTATTGCTAAAATACTGAATACCTAACACAGGATACTTAAGTGTATTTTGTTTATAATACCACTAAAATAATTCTGACTGCACAGCATTATGTAATACTAGGTTTTATACTCTAGTTCTTTTTAAATTCACTGGAGTTCTTCCATTCATATTCTACTGTTATTTTTTTAAGCAACTTTGGAATGGAATAATAATAAAAAGAGTTAGCACATAGATTGTTCAATTGTTTTATATGTTAATGGTGCAGGGGTTCAAGTTAAGCTTTTAAAATTTAAACACTAGCCTTTCATACACTACCTCTTAATTTTTTATTTTACAAAGTTAACGTCTTTATGCTTTTTCTTGGAGAAATTCAGGAATTCATACAATTTTTAAACAATCCAAATTTAGTTTTGTCAAAAAAAAAATTTCCAATTTTCCAAAAATGGAAAGTCAAAGCTGCTAGCACATTTTTTTAAACTAATTATCTTGTTTAAGGATATAGATAAACTTGATTTTCAACCAGACTTCTGTAAATTAAAGATACAGTAATAGGAAAATGATTTATTTTTAAAGATATAAAAAATTATTTCTTTGTTATTACATTAATAAAATGACAATTCATTGGTGGTCTAAACAGATTACTTCAAGTGCATCTTATTAATACATAGCACACTGTGTGGATTTAGAACTAAATAAGTTTTCTAAAGTTATTTTTCTCCTATAATACTAAAAGAGATAAACCGAACTGTGAAATTTATGTTCTGTATCTTAACAAAGTTTAGGACAGTGTTCTCGTGAACTGTCAACAAAATAATGTACTTTGGTGAATATTATGAATTTTCTAATTAAATTTTACATGCTATGTGATTTTTACATGAATGAGACTTGTATAAACTATTAAATGTCAGTATTTTTACTACAACTTTAATATAAAATGTACATTGATATTTCACTAAATGAACTTTGATTTTTGAGAAATCAAATTAGTTTTAGTGGTATTTTTTATAATATAATAAAAAGACTTATATTAAGAATACTTGTTTACATAAATTTGTGACTTAAAATGGGTATTGGAAAGGTTTCATCTTAATTTTAATGATTTTGTTATATAGTCTTTTTCCGAACATGTTCTTTTCTGTTCCTTAACCCAGTGAGGCTTCCCTTATAACAAAGAATTTTCCTAAAAATAAACTGTTTAGCAAACCCAGCATGAACAGTTTCTGACAATATTCTGCAAGAAATATTTCATACCCATGGTTCATCCCACCTCTGCAAAGAAGGGAAATAACATTTTCTCCATAGCCAAGCTTGATCAGTGTATTTCGTTGTCTTTTGTTGCCATCTGTATTCAAATTGTGCATATTTTTCTTAATTTTAATTTTTTAATTAAATTAATTTATTTAATTAAATCTAATTAGTTTTTTAAATTTTCTTAAAGTCACTTGCCCAGGGTCACACAGCTAGTAAGTATCTGAGGCCAGATTTGCGCTCAGGTCTATGATAAATTTTGAGTCATACCTCTAGAAAAATGGGGAGGAGCTGTCAGATTAATTTGTAAGAGTAATGATGGCAATAATAGGGTGCCTTATTTCTGCTGTCATCTGATGCTGTCAAACAGGAACGCTTCTTTTTTCCAGCTCTGCCTGACCCTCCCAAATTGAACAGTTTTGAGACTCAATATTGTTTCATTGCTTAAATTTTGTAGCAGTTTTGTATGTTGCCTGTTAGTACCTTACCTTTCTGGGCCTCAGTTTGGATGTATGTTTTACTGCTTTTTAGAAAAATCTGGCTTTTCAAGTCATGCTCCAGTATGGCCTACTCCTCAGAGAATTCAGACATTAAAATTCTTGGCAACCAAATACTTGTGGTAGCTCTAATGGGTAGGCCAAGTTCTAGGGTAAAAGTGAAGGGCTACAGGCGTGGAACAAAACAAGATGAATTTCTACAAAAGGAAAAAGAGGCAGTAGCAAGTTGAGTTGTAAAGTGGGAAGACAGTCAATGTTTATTCAGCAACCATTTATCAAGAGCCAGGTACCATACTAGCTCCTGAAACACAAAGATGAGACATGACTTAATATTAAGAGGAACAGAATTTAAGAATGCATTGAAGGACCAAACTGTGTCAACTGATGACTACATTTTTTTTTTATCCACAAGGCAAGACAAGTAGAGATAAGATGAAAATGTTTAACCAAGTGGGAGGGAATGGAATAAGCATATATTAAGCACCTACCATGTGCCCACCACTGTTGTAAGCACTGTACAAATATCATTTGCTCTCACAACAATCCTGTAAGTAGGTGCTATTTATAATCCCCATTTTGTAGTTGAGTGAAGTGTAGTTGAGGCAGACAGGTTAGGTGACTTACCCAGGAACATGTAGCTCTTAAGTGCCTAAGACTGGATTTGAACTCTGGTTTTCTGACTCTAGGTCCAATGCACTATCCATTGTGCCACCCAACTGCCCCAAATAAAATTATAGTAAGGTTGCATCAGCTGGTAAGCCTGATCCTTCTAGTATTAAGCTTTTGATGAGCTCATATTCTTCTGGTAGAATTATATCTTGATTAGCACATTTAGATTTGAAAACATTTGACATAACATTCTCATTCTCAATAACCCTATGAGGTGTTTCCTCATGTAAAATAATTCCTTCCTGTTCTAAAGTTCTATAGCCAGGAATGCCATTAACACAAGTTGAGCATCAGTCATATCTTCAGCATCTGTCTTTTGTGCCACTAATAATAGCTTATCAGAGTACTTTTTCCTCATAACAGTGAGCTTATGAGGATGGTCATAACTTTTGCAGCAGAAGCCCAGAGGTGAATTGCATAAAGTCAGCTTAAAAAATGATAACTGGCTATATGGGAGTATTAGAAGTAAAAATGCAAAGCAAAGCTCAGGCACTTCATAGGGTACTTAACACTATCACCTGGATGTGGTCTTTTTGGTTATCAGTTATTTTAGATGTACTGTTGGACATTTTCATTGGTTGTCCCCCATGGCTGGAACTCTTCCTCATCTATGCCTCTTCAGTTCTCAGCTAATGTCCTACCATTTGCATAAAGCCTTTCCTAATCCTCTTTAAACTCTGTCTTCCCTTAGATTATCTTCAATTTATCATATATGTAAAATGTGTGTATATGTGCATGTATGTATACATATGTGTGTGTATATACACACACCTTGTTTGTACATAGCTACTTGCATGTCATCTCCCCCATTAGACTGAGCTCTTTGAAAGGAAGAACTGTTCTTACCCAAACCCTTTCTTAGTATCCCTAGTACTTTTGCCCAGTGCCTGGCACATAGCACTTAATAAATGCTTTTTTGACTGACAGTGACTGAATCCTCCTCTGAATACTCTTTAACTTCATAAAGCCTTTCTTACACTGTGATGCTCAGAACTCAATACAAAACCACAGATGAATTTTGATGAGGACAGTTCAAACATAGGGTTATCACTTCCCTATTACTGGAAGCTAAGACGCTCCTAATGCAGCCCAAGATTGCTTTAGCTTTTTTGGATGTCACTTTGCACTGCCAACTCATTGAGCTTGTAGTTCACTAAGGCTCCCAGATCCCTTTCTAAGCTACTACTTCCTCTCTATGCCTCCCCCATCTCGTGACAATTTTTTTTTTGTCTCCAGGTACCAGACTTTATATTTCTCCCTATTGAATTTCATCTTATTAGATTTAGCACAATACGCTTAACTTGTCAAGATCCTTTTGGATTCTGTCATTCAACATGTTAGATATTCCTCTGGTTTTGTGTCATCTGCCAGTCTCATGAGCCTGCTATCTATACCTTTTACCAAAGGGAAATGGATAGGTGCAGGGTGGGGTGTAAGTAGGCTGCAATACATAAAGGAGGAAAACTTAACAGTGAATGTCAGAAAAATGGATAGGGAAAAAAGATGAGGTGGTTTTGCAGGAAGAGTGACGGGTGACTGGTGGACAATTCTTGTGGTCTACTGCCACATATACAATGTCCAGAGATATAGAGGAAGGAGCCCAGCCCACTGTGGAAGATTACTGGGAGGACAAGGACCAGAGTCCCATAAAATGGGCAGATATGGATGGCTTAGTGTCTGCCCCATTGAACAGAGTACCTGTCATGATGGAATCACAGGCCAAAGTATCAAGTAATATGTTTCTTGCTTCTTTTCTTTCCTCCTATCTTTCATGTCCCTATCAGATTTCTTTTGGTTTTTTTTTATGTAATAGTGTATATGTTTGGGTTCTGACTTCTTTCACATTACTTTACACAAATATTTGTCACTTACACGACATATCAATATTCCATTACGTTGACGGAATACACCAAAACAGAATGGTTGGAGAATTGACCATGAAGAACTGGGTTCAGGTCCTATTACTAACATATATTGGCTGTGTTACTTAACCTCTCATTGCCTAAGGAAACTCTATGACTATAGTTTCAGAAAAAAAAAAAAGAACCTGCCTGCATCAGCAGAGGGAATTGCCTCATCTGAGAGTTCCCTATGCTAATGAAATCACGGGTCCAGTCCCTATCACTAACTCTACAGTACATCTATCACTATTTGGCCATTTCTCCATTATTTTATTTATATATATAAATATATGTATATATATATATATATATGTATATATAATTTCCAGTTTTGTTTTGTTATAAAAAAAGCTGCTGTGACTTAATTTTTTATTCATTTCCAACTTAAATACATAAAGAAAAAAAAAGAATATTTTCATGTACACAGCACAACCTAAAAAGAGGATTCATAACCTAAAAAGTGAATTTACATTTCACACTCTTTACTTTTTTTTTTTGAAGTTTCCTTCTACATCTTTTTACTCTCTGCTATGCACTTGTTGTATTTTTTTCTCTTTCTCACCGTTTCCCCACCCTAGAGATGGCTTCCATTAGGCATTATATATATACATACACACACACACACACACACACACATATTATATATGTATATATATATATATATATATACACATATATAAACTGTACTATACATACTTCTATTTATCATACTTCTTTCTCTGGAGGCAGAGCGTCTTCCTTGATAGCTCCTTAGTTCTTAAAACAAGATTGCTGTTACTGTATACAATGTTTTCTTGATTCTGTTCATTTCACTCTTCATTATTTCATGCAAGTCTTTCCTTGTTTTTCTAAAATCAAAAAACATCATTTCTTATAGGAGAGTAGTATTCCATCATGATCATATACTACAACTTGTTTAGCCATTCCCTAATTGATGGGCATTCTTACACTTTCCAATTCTTTGCCATCACAAAGAGAACTGCTATAAATATTTTAGAATATATAGATTCTTTTCCTTTTTCCCTAATCATCTTGGGAAACAGACTAATAGTGGTATTGCTGGGTCAAAGGGTATAGGCAGTTTAATAACTCTTTGGGCATAATTCCTGATTGTTCTCCAAAATGGTTTGATTAGTTCACTGCTATGACTTTTTTTTCGTTTGTTTGTTTTGTTTGTTTGTTTTTTGTTTGTTTGTTTGTTTGTGGCTAGGCAGTGGGGTTAAGTGACTTGCTGTTATGTGTCTGAGGCCTTATTTGAGCTCAGGTCCTCCTGACTCCAGGGCTGGTGCTGTATCCACTGCGCCACCTAGCTGCCCCCACTGCTATGACTTTTAAACAGTTTATCGTCTTTTAATAAAATTCCTAGGATGTAGTTCTAATAATGGGTTCGCTAGGTGGGAGGATATCAATAGTTTTTATTGATATTGCTCATGAGGCAGTGGAATGTTATAGGAAAAGTACTAGATATAAAATCAGGAAAATGAGTTCAAACTCTGCTTCTGACATCTACCAGCTGTATGATCTGTGACAATTCACTTAACTTTTCTGAGCCTCCAGCAATTCTCTAAGACATCTATAATAATGATAATGATAATAACTATAATAACAACTAGCATTTCCATAGTGCTTTAA